CACATAGAGCGGGAACATACCACACTGAAGGTCACCTTCATACTTTACTCATAAATGCTGATATATCGTTTGTATAGCTTGGACTGGCATCTACTGCGAAAGAAAACTTGTTCACATTTTGCTCAAAACAAGTTTTGAACTGAGCATTGGTGTAATGTTATGATGCAGAGTTTGATTACGTGTTTCGAAAATGTTTCTTCTCAAATGTCTTTTAAAACCTTAATTCAGAGGAATCGGTAAGTCAGCAGCTGCTAGCGACTGTTAGCATCTGTCTGTCTTTTGTTCAGCAGTGCCAATGAATTTTGTCGTTAAGCTAGCATTTTCACACAACATAAAAGCCAATTGGTTGAAACCAGATTAATCAAACAGCATTAGCACATGCAGTCAGAAAGACGTACGCACTTTCATATTCAATTAAACCATTTTGACTTTCCCTTAGTTAACATCAGCTTCAAGAATTCTCAAGGTTACAGTTTTTAATTATCCACAACAAAAGAGCTGGTGCATGTAGAATTCGTTGTCAAGTCAGGGAGAGAGTTCATTGGCAATCATTTCGTTCCTTTAATACGCTCACTACTAGGTGCTGGCACTTGAGAAGGCTTAAAAACATCGGTAACCAGGAGCATAGCTTAATTTCAACAAAAAAGGCTTCAACAGGTCGAACTCCACTTGAGAAAATAAGACACCCATTTTGGGGCATGCACTAATAAAATGAGCATCTTCCAGTTTAACTAGACCAGTAAAACTATTGTCAAGATACTCTCAACTCGCTCGTTACTCGAGCTGGTTAGAAAGTGTCTCCATTTCCTCTTCTCACCGAAAGTTTTTGCCACATAAAAAGCGAGATATACAACGATGTCCAACAGCTGCACTGAGGAAGTCCCAGACAATTGACCCATCAATTAAAAACTGAATACACGAAAAAGAATCAGGAAAGGCTCTACTGCACACTTTATTCCTAACCATTGTAAACAAAAGTCCAACTTCTCTCCCCTATTAACCATGTCACCTACATAGCAATGCATCTTACCACTCAACCTACCTGAGTCATGACACACTTTTAAGGCATGTTGTCTGTTGTGCTTTTTGCAACAATATTAGTGCCTTTTTGTACGGCTCTAACAATTCATTTTGAGTACACTCAAAAACCGCCACTCCAAGCCCTCTGTGAAAAAGTATAGAACGTCCCCTGATTGATCATGGAAATGAAAATGCTATTTAAAGAATAAAGGTAGCTTCAAAAAAGAAACAACGAAGGGGACTACAACATGACAATCCTCACCCCTCCGGTATGAGGCCAAAGACAGCCGTACTACCGATCATATGAAGAATAAAAACAGGTTCAGGACCGCCTCACCGTCATCATCTAAGTTTTTTAGCTGAAACAGCCACCGCTGCAAACCGATGCTTTGGGTTAAGCACAACTCAAATTTAACGGTACTAAACACCAGTAAGTAGCGCATAAATTTCCTAAACTATTTTTCGGCTAAGGTAACGTGACCAACATTCCACCGATGTATGGGCTCAAACCTAAGCACAATGGTCTACAAATTCTCCCCACTTACAAAAGTGAAATATCACATCACACCACACTGTCCAAATTCATCAAATGTAAATCAGTTAGGGTCATGCAATTAAGGGTAGGATTAATAAGGGCGCAACATCTGATTCGTTCGGCAGTTATTAATGCCGTAACTTATAAATTTACATTCTAGCAATTAATTAAGTAGTGAAATACCAATAACTTAGCAAATGTTAGGGATCCACTTTGCGATTACATACTCCGACAACGTTCAGACAATAAGAGTTACAATGCACACAATTTGATACATTCTGATTGCAAATGTTCTTTTTTAAAGACTGAACTACAGAGAAGTTGTAAACGCGTCAACAACAAAGTGAACAGAAAGCGGAAGAATAATCAGTACCACCTGACATGTTTCCAAATCTTCCGACGAAACCGCCATGGAGTTCGAGGTTCAGTCATTATCTGTGCCTGTCGGTGACGCGCATGAGTCTTACATTCGACATACAGTCGATTATCCCGCCTCTCAAAGAAACAGTCACGGCATCTTAACCGAAGGCGACCGACAACCTTATAATTCCGAACAGCAAAAGTCTGAGGGACACTAAGACACTGTTTCAAAAAGGGAAGAACAGTTCCGACAGTCGGGCAGGGAGAAATCCCGACACTCGCAGCGCCCAAACCAAGCCACCAAGGTCCCATAGCTAAAGATAACTCACGTAATTTAAACCAACCACTTAGCAGTTGAATACTGCCAAATCTTATTGGTTTGTATTTTTGCACATTATTCTCGATAGCATTCTCTGAGCGATGCTAAGCAAAATCAAAGAAAACAAGCAGATTTTATCTAATATTTTAAACGAATTCAAATTATAAGTGCTACAAAATAAGAACG